AGAAGGCTACCAGATAATAGTTATTTAATAGTTCCTTTGCATTCGTGGTCTAATTTACATTTCATGATAACTCTGTGAAATAGACATTCTTTTCCTCATTTCATACAGGATAAAACTAGGATTTTGAGATTTTAAATAAGACCAGAAACCATTAAGTACAACACTGGGATTAGAACATAAGATTATCAGACTCCAAACGCGTTTCGTAGCTTTGTCTTTGTGATGACTCAGAATGCTTCCCTACGTATTTGGTATCCACTGCTTGCCTGCCAAGAGGAAAGCAGGGGGCACAAAACTGGAGAACTGGGGTCAGGAAACCTGGTGGATCAAATCTAGTGAGTCAAATGTGTTTTGAATAATTCTAATAAAGGCACCTGGATATCCATGGGCCAGCATAAAATTTGTGAGATACTAAAAAAAAAAAAAAAAAAAAAAATTATAAGAAAAATGAGGTTCAACCAAACCAAATTTTATTTCACAGCTTCTCCCCCAAACATAATTACTCCAATCATGGTTTATCTCCATAAATCTCATGAATGTCAAAGGCGCATTCATTCTTTTACCAACAATTACCAACACTGAATTTTAAGCTAGCCAAGGCAGTGAGGCTTCTCCACTCACCCTGTTCTTCCCTGTGTCATGGAAGTGAGAGGAGCAGATAGGCAGGCCATAAACCTTGCCCAGCACTTTCCATTTTGCTGGATTGAAAGGTTATTTGAGGTTACTCTTTCTACAGTTCCACTAAGAGAAAAGAACAATGAGTCAGATGCCATTTTCTGGAAATGTTTTTTTGCAAGCAATCTTAACACAGTACACTGTTAAGCCTCCGTACTGATGCGAACAGTCTGACCCAAACTGGCAGGCTCCTTCTGAATTTTTAGAAAACAAAAGATATTTGACTTTTTTAGGACTCCTAACATTTTTCCATGTTCTACATTTTTTTTAACCTCTTCACCTAATCTGCCTTCACTATGTTAAGAACCTGCTAATACCAACAGCTGTTCCTGCAGCACTAATTTTTGGGCCAGCTTTAACAGGTAGAGTCACATCAGACAGGACCTGCTTGTGGCCATAGCCATCTTTGATTCTATCTAGTTGTTCCAAGCTGAAAAATTAAGAATGTGCTATAAACTGAATGGCAGTAAACACATGGATTATTTTAAAGGAGAGAAAATAAAATTATTGGTATGTGAGAAGACATAGTCACTTGCCAATTCACTTAACAAAGTGTGAATTGAACATAAGTCTTCCAACCCAGCATCTTTAACAGATATTTTCTAAATGGCATATGGCTTTGGTTACCCTGCCTAAGTTAAATGCTACTTGACACATTACACCTTAATAAAAAGTAAACACCCCAAGTTGAAAAAAATATATATGCATCTATAGAGCAATTAAGAGATGTAGAAAATAATACATACAGGCTTGTTAACTTTATTATTTGACTGTATGGTAATAAGTTTAGAGGAAAAACTCGGAGATTTTAATAGACAAATGGGTAAACATGAGGCTGGTAGCAGCAGCACATAACACATAACCATTTTGAAAGCAATTCTTTCTGCTACCAAGGACTTTTATTTGTACCTACTTTGATTCTCCTTCTGCCAATCTTAAATCATCCTACCCACGGGGGCATAGCAGCCTCTAAACACAATCGTGCCACACATCGTTTTTAATGGGGAAAAATAAGATAAAATCAGAATGCTTTTAGAGAGTGACTGTGTAAACTATGGAATGCTCCCTTGTAGAATATTTCACAACTATCAATATGACTATCAATGGTTATAAATGTATAATTATAAATTATAGCTCTATAAATCATTAAGACAATTATGATGACATATAAAATGCTTACTAAGGGCATGTATGTAGCCACACCACGTATGCACACACACTACGATTACTTTCTGGTTAAAAAACACACAAATGAATTTAAAAAACTAAAAGAAAAGCCCTACATCAACGGATAATTTATGGATAAGGTGATTATAGAGAGTATGGCTCTTTATCTTCACAAAATTTATTTTATCACATTTTCAAGTATATAATACCTCCATAATTTCTACAGTTTTAAAAACATATAAAGTAAAAATAAAATGTAAAAGATGAAAGGAAGATAAAATTCTTTCTACAACCATGCATAAATAGAATTGAATTTTATTTTGGTGTCATTTTCAAGATAATATAATTCAAGATGCTCAAAACTTTGAGAGTATTTTAGCCAAATCAGCACTTTTTGTTTCTTTCCAAAGCCTCACTTTGGAGGAAGTGTTAAAGTGGGCCCAATCTTTTGACAATTTGATGGCTACAAAATGTAAGTATTGTGTATATATGTATCATCTGTGACTAGCCAGCTTGGCTCTCAGGGGAAGGGGTGCAGGGGAGCGCTAAATGAATATATGCTGCTCTTCTCACAGCAAATGACACAGCTAAATAAAGGAAACCTGGAAATAGTTTGTCATGTCAACTGCTATTTATTTTCTCTGGAGTTAATTAAGCCAAGATTAGTCACTGCGAATATTTCATCTTCACAAGTATATGTGTAAAATCCCTTGGCAAATATGCTTACATAGTAACACATTCTAAAATACGTAGCCTTCCTATAGCCTTCTTAAGCTAATATTAAACTTTAAAATGAAATGTAACTTGCTGTTCTCAGGGCTTTCAAAAGAAAGAGTTCAAGTCTTGATAGCCAAAAACTCCTCCTCAAAGTTTGTATCTAACTTTATCAGTCTGATTTAAGAGAGACCATGTGTGAGTCTCTACATGGTTGTATGTAAATGTGACGTCCCGATGGTACAAATGAAAACTAATAGCAGTGAACATGAGGGAGATAGAGGCAAAAGTTCCATGCAGGAAAGATGAATGAAGATGTGCCTTCAGGAGAACAGCCAATTGTGTTGGGGGTGGGGAAAGCTGGCAGGTTGTAAATGATGAAGCCAGGCAACAGGTGCAGAAAATAACGCAGTGGGTACTCACAGAAACTTCTGCTGAATTTGGTACTTTTTAATGAAATTATGTTTGTTAACATTTGCCTACAGAGCCTGTTTAGTATGTTTAGAGCTATAGACCGTGGAGCAGAGTTAGCCGTGCTACTTAGATGCTTTACTTGGTGGGGTGTGCACGAAGTTATTCTGCACGGGGCATCCCCTGCTCCTCCTGAGTCCTGCCAAGCTCCTGGAGCATGTTTTTGCTCTTTCTGACTCAAGAGACCCTTGTTGGTATGGACTCAATTGCTGCTGCCTGGCCTAGAGGGCAGTCGTGGGAGGTATGAACCTTACTGGAGCACTTGAACCAGCCACTCTGGGACTTACTTCAGGGCCCCTCCCTTTGGGCTGGATTTGCACCTCCAGGTCTGAGCTCCTCTCTTTTGTAGTAGCCCTTTCCAAGAAGCATTTGAGGCCTGAGTTTTTGTTTCTTTTTCTTTGCTGCAATCTCCCACTGCCTTTCACTTTTTAGGTGTTCCTCGCAGTTTGTAATCCAATTTGCCAGCATGATTGTGGATTTTTTAAAAAATACATCTTTGGGGAAATTTTTGGACATTAAAATGGAAGGAAGAGATAAATAGTATTTAATCACTTGGCTATATTGATTAATCCTCTGCCAATAGTGTGCATGTCAGTCACAACCCTCCATAATCCATGTTTTGCAACATTGCCAGATTGATTAATCTCTTTCTTAACGTTCCAAATGCTTTATCTGTAAAATGAGAATAAAGTCAGCTATCTTTTCAGGATTATTGTACAGGCTAGATATAAAACAACTAGCTTGATGCTGATACAAATTAGGCATATAATAATTAGTTATTTTTATTAAAAACAAAGTACATGTCTCTGAATATCATTCTTTTCTCTCTGCTGCCTAGAAAAACTGTAAAATCTTGGACTCTCTGCATTCTAACCTAACACATTTTCTAAAATTTACATCCAGGAGATGCCCCTTTATGAGACATGCCCTCTGCCAAGGTGATGATTACCCCAGTTTCTACTTTACATTTACAGCTCTGCTGCTCCAAGCTCAAAGTCCTTCATACCTCTACTGTTCTGCCCATCCTTAAAGTCAAGTTCAAGTTCTGCCTTTTCAATGAAATCTCTTGGAGATACTTTCCTCTCCTACTTTGTTAGTGTAATTATTTATTCTGCTTTTTTTTTTTTTTTTCAGTTTTGGCCAGGGCCAGGCTTGAACCTACCACCCCCGGTATATAGGGCCAGCACCCTACTCCTTGAGCCACAGGCACTGTGCATATCCTGCTTTTAGTAGTAGCCGGTCCGTGCATTAGGCTTTCTTCACAGTGGCTTTCCTGCTAAACTGTAAATTCCTCAAGAGCACAGATTGCTCCTCATTCACTTTGCATCCCCCTGAAAGACTGAAATCATGCGTTGTTGCTGATGGGCATGTTCCTAATGGGCATGCGACAAACGTTCAATGAGTAAGTACAAGATAAACATTAGTAAGAAGAGATCGAACACCAAGCCATATGATGTGCACTTCTGTGCCAATTCTGGAGGCTTCGTAAACAAAGCGAATACAGTTAATTATTTGGCACGGATTCCAAGTGGGCATCTGCCAAGCTACAATTAGCAAGTTAGCAATCTAGTGTCGTGATAAGTAAAGGCTACAGAAAAGATGAGGACAGGAAAACACCGCACCGCTCTTTATAAAAACCAGGAAAAACAGGGTAAGAATCTTGCCAGAAATTGAATTACTATGAAGCTCATGTAAAAACTCAATAGTCACATAATAAAAAGTGATAAATTATTCTGTGGATTATCCACCCAGAAAGATAAAACTAAGAATTACAAATACAAAATGTGCCAGAGAATTGGAAATGTGTTTATACTAACCAAGAACACGAGTAAAACTCATCCTCTAGCTAAGATAGGCAGATACCTATTTTTAAATAGATTAAAACACTACTTCTGAGAATATATATTTCAGAAACCCACAGGAGTAGGACCTGTATCAGGCTGGGTCTCAAAAGATGAATAGAAACTGGTTTAGAGATGTTGGCTAGAGAGCCATTGAGCTATGGTCATCACAGCACAATTCAATTCAATATCTTAAGTGGGGAAAGGGCATCAAAAAAAACCATGTATGTAAGAACAGAATTATGGCAAAATAAGAATGTTTACTACCTAGATACAATGGTTCCTACCTAGGTACATTCTAAATATATTATTTAATGAAACATTATTGACAAGTTTTATAAATACCAAAAATTTAAAAAAAAATAGTATGTTCCTTTGTTCAATATTCATTCAATAAATATGTATTAAGCACTTCTTAGGTATCAGGCAATACACTTGAACCAATCCCATGTGCCCATATGGCACACAAAATAATAAGGAATAAAAGAGATTTTTCAAACAATGAAAATATCCTAGAATAGTGGTTCCCAACCTTCCTAATGCCGCAGACCTTTAATACAGTTCCTGTAGGTCGCAACCCACAGGTTGAGAACCACTGTCCTAGAAGAAAGCAAGGAGACCACCCATTTGTAGTATTTTTGGTAAAGTAGAAAATAGTGATTATCCCTCTTGCTAATAGGTATGTTTTAAAAAAAGGGAAAGAAAAAATAGTGATTAAAGCTAATTCTAGTAATACCTCGAATGGAATTCCAAAGGCCGAACACATAGTTTTTAAAAAACAATAGCCTTTGACAAAAAACTTCAGTTAAGGCTACATACAAGGCTGACCTGCAGTATTTTAAGGATAGAAAACTATTTTAGTAGAAGTTAGCCCAGTACAGATAAATGGGTACATCTTTCAATAAAGAAATATAGTGAGTACTCCTCAGGATTTGGTGAGAAAACCAGCACATCCAAAGTGAATTAAGCAAAAAAGATCCTGCAAAATTTCCAAGTCTATAGATGATAGAAAGTTCTTCAAGTTTTCAAACATCTAAATGTTTAAGAAATTATTAAATTATTTCAAATGGACATAAGGGTAGTGAAAAGTTTTTAAATGAGTCAGAAAAAAATTTTTTTATCTGAGCTATTAGTCTTTGTCCCATAAAAATATCTGAGAATTACACCTGACACTTTTCCTTGAATGATGTTGACCCAAAATATGACACTACAACCCAAAATATCATTAAAGTCTTAGGCATTACCAAGATTAAAATCAGAAGCAAAATCCAGTGGGTATTTCTGATAGCTAAACCTCAATAGAGAAGGAGTAGAATCAGAAAAGATACTAAAAAGTACATTTGTAGTGACATGGGAGCCTACAATCACCTTAAATCCAAGAAACAGAAAAGCTCAAGACTGAAAAATAAGCAAACTCTACAATACCAGAAGAAATTGAGCCAGAAGGATTATCCTTACATTTACTGACTAAATCACAAAAATGAGTATAGGAGTTGCCCACTTGAGTAAATTATGTTTTATATAAGTAAAAAGTAGTTTAGTTTACAATTAACTCCCTTGGCTAATTCACTCAATCCTACTGTGCATTGGGCAGACCCTTCAAGCACCAGGGACATGGGAGATAGAGGCACACAAGGTCCCTATGCTCAGCTCCTGTGAGCCCCCCTGAGGGAGGAGACAGGCAGACCCTTCAAGCACCAGGGACATGGGAGATAGAGGCACACAAGGTCCCTATGCTCAGCTCCTGTGCGCCCCCCAGAGGGAGGAGACAGGCAAACAAGCTACAAATTAATCAGTAAATAATTCCAGAAAGTAGTGAATGCTTTGGAGAAAATACCACCAGGTGATGTGACCAAAAATGTCAAGTACAAGGGTGTAATTTAATCAGATAATTAGAAAACTATCAGAAGGGGTAAATTTGAGCAAAGAGCTAAATGATGAGAAGATGTAAACAGCCATGCTGGGGTCTGTAAGCAGAGGAAAGCCATGGCCCTGAGTTATGGGTGAGGTCAGTGTCTTCAATAATGGAAAGAAGTTCAACATGAAACGAGCTTAAGGCCTTATAGGGCCCAGGGGCAACCTTAAATTACAGAATAAAAGCATTC